AGGGAGAGCGAGCGAGCGAGTGAGAGAAAAACTGAGAGACAGAGACAGAGGCAGAGGCAGAGACAGAGACAGAGACAGAGACAGAGACAGAGACAGAGACAGAGACAGAGACAGAGACAGAGCAGAGACCGAGCAGAGCAGAGCAGAGACAGAGACAGAGACAGAGACAGAGACAGAGACAGAGGCAGAGGCAGCTTCGCCCGAATTACTGTCAGGCAGAGGCAGAGGCAGATGGGATTACAGGCAACGTCCACGTCAAACAAGCCTTCTTGTCAAGCCTAAGTTTGCTCTTTGCCAGCAGGGGGGAAAGTGCGTCTTGGGTGCCATGTCGCTCGTGTCGCCTCTTGGATTCCTTTGGTTGAGCTCAATTATCATTTCGAGCTCAGAGGTAGGCATAATCCTCAGTGCTAGATAAAAGCTTTTTGAACTTGTGTTGTTACTGCAGGGATTGTGTTGCCTTCAGTGGACTCGGTTCCATCGCGAGCAGAGTGCTGTTTGTCAGCGCTCTTGTCTTGGGATACGGGGAGGAAATGATGGCGGAGATGAGAAGAACGCTTCTGTTCAAGAGGGAGCTCCACACATGTTGAGTGTCTATGACATAGCCATTGACGCTGCAGATAAGAATTGCAAAAAATTAAGAAAACAATTCACAAATGCCGTCATGCAGGGGAGCTCCAACATTCTTGATCTCGAGATTCTGACAAAGCAGGACGAAGGGATCGAGGGGGTGCAATCAGAAATCGAGGGAGAACAACAAGAGAGGAAAATTGAAGAGATCGGAGATGTACAACAAGAGATCAAAGGTGTACAAAAAGAGATCAAAGGTGTACAAAAAGAGATCAAAGGTGTACAAAAAGAGATCAAAGGTGTACAAAAAGAGATCAAAGGTGTACAAAAAGAGATCAAAGGTGTGTTGACAAGGATGGACGATCAAAATGACCCAACGCTGAAGGAGGCAAGAAGCAGCTTGTAGAGGACAAGAAGCAGCTTGTAGAGGACAAGAAGCAGCTTGTAGAGGACAAGAAGCAGCTTGTAGCGTACCAGCAGCAGCTTGTAGCGTACCAGCAGCGGCTTTTAGACAGGGAGAAGCTGCTTTTGGACAAGGATAAGCAGGTTGAGAGGCTTATTCCACGTCCTGTGCAACTTAGAGACAGTGTGTCAAGACCTGAAGGTGAAACAGAATTGAATGTGGCTATCATGGGTACTAACAGGACTGATGCTAGTTGGCATGCTAAGTTTCTTGAAAGATCTCTGGACTACCGCATGCGCAGGAAAGGTTTTATTGGCTAATGAATACGTCAGCTTCTCCGCATGCTTAGGAGGCCACAAGACACTTGGAAACAAGCTCTTCATACGAGAGTGCTACTTGGAGATGAGGCGGGTGATTGCAATGGAATTCGATTTGGACCCAGAGACTCTCAAGGACAAGGAGTCGACACAAACATGCGATCCAATGATCCTCACAGGTACTCCAGGGATCGGGAAGTCCTGCTTTGCATACTTCTTACTTCTTCAGCTTCTCCGGCCTGGTGAGCAAGTAGTGTATCAGATAGGGCGTGATTATTGGTACTTCGATGGCGAAGCATGGGGCCTGATCGTAGATAAATCTGCAGCGCAACACTTTGTTCGAACGTTTAGGGGCTGGTATATCTGTGACCTGTACAGAGACGAGGGGAAGTATGTGAGATCACAATCCGCGAAAAGCATCATAATTTCTTCACCGAAGCTTGGAAAGTTTAAGGACATTTTGAATCATGGATCGCAGCGATATTTCTTGCCGTTGTGGTCAGACGAGGAGATGTCACTCTTCATCGATATGCACAGGAATCGTATTAACGTCAGTGAAGCAGAGAAGATCATAGAGGATTGGGGCAATGTGCCTAGAAACATCGTCGTGAAACCTTTAGAGACACTTCAGCAGGCTATTGCGGGATTAGATTCAGTGTCATCTCTCAAGAGGAAGATGGATGCAGCAGTGAATGAAGACCTGAGGATGCCGTCGAAGCTGATTCACATTTCCCCCAGCACTGACTACAGATCGTTTACCGCTCGAATATGCTCGACGAAGGCCGCGACGATGATATTTCAGGCCCTTGTGAAAAGCGACTGGGATCATGTTGTCGACTTTGCTTTTTCGAGTCCTAATTCTGGCTATGAGTCAGCAGCAGGTGTAGCTTTTGAACACGTTGCGCATGAGGTGCTGAAGGGAGGAGGAATATACAATCTGCGAAGGCTGGAGAAGGATAAGGGCGGGCGATGGAAACGGGTCGAAAAGCTGAGCTTGAATAGATCGCAACCGTACATTGAATTTGCGTCATCAATCAGAGACTTGGAGGAGTGGGTGATCATGCCGAATGCATACTGTAAGCCAAAGGCGTTAAACCTCGCTTGCATGGATGCGCTGTCATTGTCTGCTAGCGGGGTTCTCTACATGTTCCAGATAACACGGGCGGGGAAACATCCTATCAAAGTGGATTCATTACTCAGCATCTTGAAAGCTCTGCGAGCCAAGAACAAGTTTGAGAGGGTAAACTTTGTGTTCGTGGTACCTTCAGGGCATGAGGAAATGCCCTGCTGGGGACGAGATCAAGGCTTCGCATCTCAGGGAGTGAAGGCAAGCCAGGAGCAGGAGAGTGAAATGAGGGGAGTCATTCAGTATATCATGATGCTTTCGAAGGAGGATGCGATGCGGAGGCCAAAGGGATGGATAAATTTCGCTCCGCAACATACGTAGTCAATCGCAAGAGCAGCGCCAAGGGAGCAGTTGGAATCTGGGAGGACGCGACAGAAGCAGAGAACTTTAGAATCGTCAGAATTCAAGATTGTGCTTCCAAGACTTTAGAATCGTCAGAATTCAAGATTGTGCTTCCAAGACTTTAGAATCGTCAGAATTCAAGATTGTGCTTCCAAGACTTTAGAATCGTCAGAATTCAAGATTGTGCTTCCAAGACTTTAGAATCGTCAGAATTCAAGATTGTGCTTCCAAGACTTTAGAATCGTCAGAATTCAAGATTGTGCTTCCAAGACTTTAGAATCGTCAGAATTCCTGTTTTGCAATTATAGGCGATCTTTGCGTTGGAGATGAGGACATTCGTCACGATGCTGTAGAAGCTTGCTCGAATAGATAAACGACACACATGGCCATCATGACTCTATCTCCTACGATTCAACTGAACCTGTCGCCTTCCGCAGTGAGATGACTAGACGCTATCCAATAGACTCTTCCACTGACAAACCGTGCTGGCAATTCGCAGATGGAAGTTTGTTTTGCGATGATGGTGTTTGATGGTGTTGTATACACAACCTTGCGTAAGACGTTGAGCTCAGATGATCTTAGGATCTCTGTTTATAAAGCACACACAGTCATCAGATCAGCAGCATCAGAGCAGCTGTCTGGCATCGTCATCCTATTTCCCTACGCTACGCCCAAGGGGGTCCGGTATGAGTCCAGAATACAACATCGCTCCCACTGCGAGACGACAAGAAGGTCCTCCTGTCGTTGACTTCGCTCAGCAGAATCTTGAGTTAAGGATCTGCAGAGGAAGAGGAAGAAGAGCGGCGGGAAGGTGACGCTTGAGCTAGTAAAGAAGATTCAAATTGTTGAATTAAATCACGAATACCAAAGATTTCTTGGTAAGTTCAGAAGCTGATTTCCAGGAATGATCAGCTGGATTAGGATAGCCTTTCCAATGAACAAGATATTGGATACCACGACCACGTTGACGTTTGTCGAGAATCTGTTCCACTTCGTATTCGAGTCCTTGAGCTGTCGAAAGAGAATCCGGTCGATCGACGCGAAGCTCGAAGTTGGGATCGCGATGGCGGAGCCACTTGAGGTTGAAGACGCTGTGTTCAAGATGACGAAAGCGATCTGTCAGTTCTAGATGAACAGTGTTGTCAGAAACAAAGGAGAGGATCTTGAAGGGACCAATAAAACGAGGGCGGAGCTTGGGGAAGCTGTCGGTAATTGGAATATTCGTCGTTGAGAGCCACACGAGATCGCCGACGTTGAAACTGTGAGGGCGACGGTGTTGGTCAAGGGTCTGTTCAGTTGAACGAGCCATGTGATCGAGGGCATCGCGAGCGGCTTCCATGTGCACTTGGATGGCTTCGCGAATGTCGTCAGGATCGTCAGACGAGTTGGAAAGGTTAGGAAGAGCCAGTTGAATTTTGACGTTGCGGCCATAAATGATCTCGAATGGCGCAAGGCCTGTTGAACGTTTGATGGAAGAATTGTAATGCATCTCGAAGAGAGGAAGAAATCTGTCCCAGTCATGGTTGACGCGATTTCGAGAACGAGCTGAAGAAGAAGAATTGGCTGACGTTGGCGTGGAGGATGAATCAACGTGGAAGACGCAAAGAAACCAATCATCCTCGTCGGTGTCTTGTTGTTGAGAAGCAAAAACGTCGGTCAATGACAGGAAAGTAACTTGCGCAAAGGAGTGGGGAGCTGTAAGGGAATTGAGGGGAACCATTTCACATGTCGGAAGACGGACGAGTTGTTGTTTGTTGGAAATTTCAATCCATACTTCACGGGTGCGGGCATGAAAAACAAGTCCATATCGAGTTTGCCAAGTAAGGGAAAGGATACATGTAGATAATGTAGAAGGCAGCACATTGAAATGATCGGTAAATGAATGTTTGCCAATTGAATAAGTAAGAGAAATAGTGCCGAGAGTCTGTAAGTGAACTCCATTGGCAACACAGACAGGGATACGAATAGAGCTGTCAATAGCGGATAAGGGAATATGCAAACGATCGAGGAGGGCGGTCGAAATAACATCGACGGCAGCGCCACCATCGAGAAGTGCTGTAAAATGATAAGGGTCAGCATCGGGCGATATAGATCAGCAAGTCACGGGAAATTTGATAAGATCAGTGACTAGCGATGCTGAATTTTGCAGAACGGAAGGGGACGGAGTTTCAGCTGAGAAGATAAAATGAGAGCACAGCTGGGGTTCCGTAGAAGAAGAGGGCATGCTCGTCGTCCAACTGCGGGAACCGAGAGCATGACCTGCGGTACCCTATTCCTGAGGAGGAGGGTCAGCAGGAGGCTGAGCTCTTGCTGGAGAGGACGAAGAGATTGTCCCAAAAGAAGCAGAGGCGGGGGCAACTGCGGGGGTTGGCGTGACGGGAGAGCCCGGGCCAAGAGCAGGAGCACCATTCTGAAGGAGAGCCAGGATGGCGTGAACGATGGCGGCAGGATTCGCTTGAGGCTGGGAAGGCTGGGTCACGGAGGAAGAAGCATTACGGTCAGCTTGCTTTTTCTTGCGGCAGTACCTGAACGTGTGTCCGGAACGGTTACAGTACGTGACGAGTCGGAATATCAGGGTCAAGAAAGCCATTAGCAAACTGCTGAAGAAGATCGTGCTCTTGAAACACGACAGCCTCAGATTTGTAGAGTAGAAGTTCGTCGACGTAACGTTGCGTCCGAAGAGTATAATCGGTGATCGATTCGTTGACACTTTGACGGAGACTGGTCGCCTGTTGCTGGAGCTTGGCAATGTGGGAGGCAACAGCAGCAGCAGCGAGTCAAGCACAAGGAACGAGGAAGAGAAGAAGATATACAATCATGTCAGCGCTTGCTCGACCTGCTTCCTTCCAGAGTCATCTTCACAACGGCTACCAAGCACGTCAGCCTCTGAGCCTGTTGACCCTGATGCGGGCTGCGACGAGTACTCCTGGCTGCATGGCCCGGAGGCAGCCCCACACGCTCGAGCCCAAGCAAGCCTCGACAGCAGCAGAAGCCGCTCTCCCCAGCCCCCACCGACGATGCGCCGAGTCGCATGTAGGCCCCATGCTTGAGGCTGATAGCCCGGCTCAGGCTCAAGCTCAAGGACAGGCCCCAGCTGAGGCTAAGGCCCCAGCTCAAGCTCAAGCTCCAGCCCTCACGGCCGTCGGTAGTATCTCGTCCGGGCTACGACTCGCCCCAGCATCCCATGCATCGTCTGGGCGGTCGGGGGCAGGCGCTGGACGAGCTCGCAGGTGCTGGCCGAGTTGCGTGGGCAGGTGGAGGGAGGGCTGCTGAGGGCACAGACGATAACAGCAGCATGGCAGGCAGGCAGAACGGCAGGCAGGCAGGAGAGGAGGAAGGCGTCGGGGTCGGCGTTGGCGTCAGCGTCCGTGAAGGGAAGGGAAGGGGGAGGGACTGAGGAAGGCAGGAATGGTCACTGAATGGAAAAAGTTACCATTGTAGTAAAGTCAAAGCACCTGTCAGCAAGGTATCGCGCCAGTGCCAACGGGCGCATGGCTGAGAAGTAACTTAGCTAGTCCTCTGTGTTCCTCTCAGAGCATCAGGCTTCACCATGTCATGACTTTGTCGAGGGTTTAGGGTTTAGGGTTTAGGGTTTAGGAGGCGCCGTTATTTTCGGCAGGCGCCGTTATTTTCGGCAGGCGCCGTTATTTTCGGCAGGCGCCGTTATTTCGGCAGAAGACGAAAGGGCAACGGTCAACGGACAGACCGAAGGTGAAGCCTCATAGGCGAAAAACAACCAACATGGCAAGGAAGGGGTTATTTTCGGCAGGCGCCGTTATTTTCGGCAGGCGCCGTTATTTTCGGCAGGCGCCGTTATTTTCGGCAGGTTTAGGGTTTTAGGGTTTAGGGTTTAGGGTTTAGGAGGCGCCGTTATTTTCGGCAGGCGCCGTTATTTTCGGCAGGCGCCGTTATTTTCGGCAGGCGCCGTTATTTTCGGCAGGCGCCGTTATTTTCGGCAGGCGCCGTTATTTTCGGCAGCATGGCTCCTCGTCAGGTGTAGGGGAAGCCGCCAGGGCGCCAAGGAAGCTGCAAGCAAGAGGTTTGTATACTTCAAATAGCTTTCTAAGTATGGTTCTTCAGTATGATGAAAATGTTCGCAACCTGCTGTATCGGAGATCATGCCAATACACGCAGAGCGGACTTGTGGATGCCTCTGTCCTCGAAGCTGATCTCGTCGAGAGGGTGAAGAGCTTCGCGAAGCGTTATCCGAACAGCAGGACAGCCCAGGCTTGCAAGGCTGTGGAGGGATGCACCCCCGACGCTATCGCAGAAGCCATCCGCTCGACATGTCAGCAGGCACGACGTGAGCTTCTGCAAGAAGCGATGACTGGATGGAGTGACGCATCCAGAGAGTGGTTTATGCAGCAGATTGAAGAAGCCAAGAAGGAGAAGGTCGAGACATACACCGCCTCAGCAGGCAACGAGGTGACTTCCTTCATCTCCATGACTCTCCTGGGCATCTCCTCGGTGTATGTCAACCATGAAGAAAAGCTGAAGAAGAAATTTGAAGAGATCGGACTGATCGTAGACTCAGTGCAAGAGAGTAAAGCAATCATGTGGAAGGCTCCGTATAGACCCGAGATAGCGAGTGCTGAGGAGATCCCGGTGACTGTTTCCTTCCTCCGCAATGCACAAGCGGAGAAGCTCTGGCAGGGAAGAGAGGACTTCGCGATCGATGGTCGCAAGTTCACAGCTGTACATGTGAGCATCGTGCACGATCGATCTTTCAAGATTCGAGCCAAGAGAGGACCCTGGGGCAAAGGGGGCAGCTTGGCAGAGCTGACTCACCTGCTAACCTTGGGCGGCATGACAACGGCTGAGATAGCTGCCGTCTATCGCTATCAGCTGCTGCGCCAGTCCCTTGCAGCGGTCCAACTCCAGCCGCTGGCAGGCATGCTGGTCGCTGGGGCGCCAGGCCAGCAAGTCCACAAAGGCTTAGGTCAGAAAGGCTTCATCGCTGTAGGGGCCAACGTCATCTGGAGACAGAGGGAGGTGGAGTGGATCGTCTCCTCGAGCTGCCCAGAGGCGAATGATACAGCATTTCGAGCTTTCCGAGAGAGCGAAGCGATGGAGGGAGTACACCTGACTCTGTTCAGCGAGGACCCGAAGATCAGAGAGGCGCTCGCAGTCGAGTTGACAGCTGATCGCTTTGTGTCCAGAAATAAGTTGAAGAAGGCATCAAGGATGCAGAAGAAGGCAGGCGGCAAGGACGGCAAGGAGATCAAGATCATCATCAAGTCGACGGCGGCATCTGGTCGCTTCACGAGGAAGGAGATGGAGGGGCTGTGCAACGGCGGCAACACGTCCATCGCAAGAGTCAAGAGAGTCTTGTTGGAGATCGCTAACAGGCTCGAGATCAACGTTGAAGGCATCGACATGGAGGAGGATTTGAACACCAAGTCCTGGAACGGGTCCAAGCTATGCATCCTCCTCGGCTCCACGGAGGATGCTCGACGCATGATGAAGGAGCTGCCCTTCTATCTCGAAGGCGCAGCAACCAAGCTCGAAGCAGTCGGCTTCGACAAGGAGCCTGACTCTGAGGCGGCTGGTCAGCGGGGCACCAGCGACGCAGCGCAGCGACAGGAGGAGAGCGAGGGAGAGTGGCTGGAGTTTACAGACATGGAGAGGATCACAATGGAGGCAGCATCTCCGTCAAGCCAAGAGGACATGCAGCTCGTCAGCGAGCTGTCAGCAGTCATCGAAGATGCAACTTCTTTGAACGAGGCAGGGACGAGCGAGCCGATCAAGCTGGTCCTGGACAAGGCCGTTGGCAACCTCCACGACACCTTCTACTCTCCGGGGAGCCTGGAGTTCATGGCGCTGGGAGAGTGGGCGAAGATGCCAGAGGAGCAGGGAGTGGGACGCAACGCGCTCAAGGAGAAGCTGGGGAAGTGGCTGCAGAGCAAGCGCTGGACTCGCGTGCAAGGAGAGAGCAAGAAGGCAAGGAGGGGCAGCGCGTTCTCGCCACGGGCAACGGCAGCTGCTGAGCTTGAGCAGGAGGCGGAGAGCGACGACATAGAGCGTCGATCTCTTAGCTTCCTGTTCATAGCACTGAGTAAATTCGCAGAGATGCATGTGCTGGCCTGCTCGCTGAAGGTGGACAAGAAGGACCGACTGCGAGTGGAGATGAGGTAAGATGACGAAGAAGAGGAAGACATGGAGGAAGAGCAAGGCGAGGGCGAGGAAGAAGACGGGGCGAGCCCGTACCGAGCTTGAGCTGAGCTCAAGGTAAGGAGAGAAGGTAGGAGGCGACCGAAGGCCAAGGTGAGGAGAGGCAACTCTCCTGACTGAAGCTGAGGAAGCTGAATGGAGGACGAGTAGGTGGCGACCGAAGGCCAAGGTGAGGAGAGGCAACTCTTCTGACTGAGGCTGAGGAAGCTGAATGGAGGTAGAGTAGGTGGTGACCGAAGGCCAAGGTGAGGAGAGGCAACTCTCCTGACTGAGGCTGAGGAAGCCAAGAGAAGACAGCAGAAGTAGAGAGTAGAAAGACGCCTCAGAAGCAGGGTTCGCATTGTAGGCCGTGTACTCCCAGTGCTCGAGCGCCTCTTTAGACTAGGATCCAATTGCACAAGCCCACAACGAGGCCGAGCAACATTCTAGCGCCGGTTATTTCAGGCAGCGCCGGTTATTTCAGGCAGCGCCGGTTATTTCAGGCAGCGCCGGTTATTTCAGGCAGCGCCGGTTATTTCAGGCAGCGCCGGTTATTTCAGGCAGCGCCGGTTATTTCAGGCAGCGTTTCGGCAGCAGGCGCCGTTATTTTCAGGCAGCGCCGGTTATTTCAGGCAGCGCCGGTTATTTCAGGCACCATGGCTGCACGCGTGGTGTAGGGGAAGCTGCCAGGGCGCCAAGGAAGCTGCAAGCAAGAGGTTTGTATACTTCAAATAGCTTTCTAAGTATGGTTCTTCAGTATGATGAAAATGTTCGCAACCTGCTGTATCGGAGATCATGCCAATACACGCAGAGCGGACTTGTGGATGCCTCTGTCCTCGAAGCTGATCTTGTCGAGAGGGTGAAGAGCTTCGCGAAGCGTTATCCGAACAGCAGGACAGCTCAGGCTTGCAAGGCTGTGGAGGGATGCACCCCCGACGCTATCGCAGAAGCCATCCGCTCGACATGTCAGCAGGCACGACGTGAGCTTCTACAAGAAGCGATGACTGGATGGAGTGACGCATCCAGAGAGTGGTTTATGCAGCAGATTGAAGAAGCCAAGAAGGAGAAGGTCGAGACATACACCGCCTCAGCAGGCAACGAGGTGACTTCCTTCATCTCCATGACTCTCCTGGGCATCTCCTCGGTGTATGTCAACCATGAAGAAAAGCTGAAGAAGAAATTTGAAGAGATCGGACTGATCGTAGACTCAGTGCAAGAGAGTAAAGCAATCATGTGGAAGGCTCCGTATAGACCCGAGATAGCGAGTGCTGAGGAGATCCCGGTGACTGTTTCCTTCCTCCGCAATGCACAAGCGGAGAAGCTCTGGCAGGGAAGAGAGGACTTCGCGATCGATGGTCGCAAGTTCACAGCTGTACATGTGAGCATCGTGCACGATCGATCTTTCAAGATTCGAGCCAAGAGAGGACCCTGGGGCAAAGGGGGCAGCTTGGCAGAGCTGACTCACCTGCTAACCTTGGGCGGCATGACAACGGCTGAGATAGCTGCCGTCTATCGCTATCAGCTGCTGCGCCAGTCCCTTGCAGCGGTCCAACTCCAGCCGCTGGCAGGCATGCTGGTCGCTGGGGCGCCAGGACAGCAAGTCCACAAAGGCTTAGGTCAGAAAGGCTTCATCGCTGTAGGGGCCAACGTCATCTGGAGACAGAGGGAGGTGGAGTGGATCGTCTCCTCGAGCTGCCCAGAGGCGAATGATACAGCATTTCGAGCTTTCCGAGAGAGCGAAGCGATGGAGGGAGTACACCTGACTCTGTTCAGCGAGGACCCGAAGATCAGAGAGGCGCTCGCAGTCGAGTTGACAGCTGATCGCTTTGTGTCCAGAAATAAGTTGAAGAAGGCATCAAGGATGCAGAAGAAGGCAGGCGGCAAGGACGGCAAGGAGATCAAGATCATCATCAAGTCGACGGCGGCATCTGGTCGCTTCACGAGGAAGGAGATGGAGGGGCTGTGCAACGGCGGCAACACGTCCATCGCAAGAGTCAAGAGAGTCTTGTTGGAGATCGCTAACAGGCTCGAGATCAAAGTTGAAGGCATCGACATGGAGGAGGATTTGAACACCAAGTCCTGGAACGGGTCCAAGCTATGCATCCTCCTCGGCTCCACGGAGGATGCTCGACGCATGATGAAGGAGCTGCCCTTCTATCTCGAAGGCGCAGCAACCAAGCTCGAAGCAGTCGGCTTCGACAAGGAGCCTGACTCTGAGGCGGCTGGTCAGCGGGGCACCAGCGACGCAGCGCAGCGACAGGAGGAGAGCGAGGGAGAGTGGCTGGAGTTTACAGACCTGGAGAGGATCACAATGGAGGCAGCATCTCCGTCAAGCCAAGAGGACATGCAGCTCGTCAGCGAGCTGTCAGCAGTCATCGAAGATGCAGCTTCTTTGAACGAGGCAGGGACGAGCGAGCCGATCAAGCTGGTCCTGGACAAGGCCGTTGGCAACCTCCACGACACGTTCTACTCTCCGGGGAGCCTGGAGTTCATGTCGCTGGGAGAGTGGGCGAAGATGCCAGAGGAGCAGGGAGTAGGGCGCAACGTTCTCAAGGAGAAGCTGGGGAAGTGGCTGCAGAGCAAACGCTGGACTCGCGTGCAAGGAGAGAGCAAGAAGGCAAGGAGGGGCAGCGCGTTCTCGCCACGGGCAACGGCAGCTGCTGAGCTTGAGCAGGAGGCGGAGAGCGACGACATAGAGCGTCGATCTCTTAGCTTCCTGTTCATAGCACTGAGTAAATTCGCAGAGATGCATGTGCTGGCCTGCTCGCTGAAGGTGGACAAGAAGGACCGACTGCGAGTGGAGATGAGGGAAGATGGCGAAGAAGAGGAAGACATGGAGGAAGAGCAAGGCGAGGGCGAGGAAGAAGACGGGGCGAGCCCGTACCGAGCTTGAGCTGAGCTCAAGGTAAGTAGAGAAGGTGGAGGCGACCGAAGGCCAAGGTGAGGAGAGGCAACTCTCCTGACTGAAGCTGAGGAAGCTGAATGGAGGAGGAGTAGGTGGCGACCGAAGGCCAAGGTGAGGAGAGGCAACTCTCCTGACTGAGGCTGAGGAAGCTGAATGGAGGTAGAGTAGGTGGTGACCGAAGGCCAAGGTGAGGAGAGGCAACTCTCCTGACTGAGGCTGAGGAAGCCAAGAGAAGACAGCAAAAGTAGAAAGTAGAAAGACGCCTCAGAAGCAGGGTTCGCATTGTAGGCCGTGTACTCCCAGTGCTCGAGCGCCTCTTTAGACTAGGATCAAATTGCATAAGCCCACAACGAGGCCGAGCAACATTCTAGCATTCTAATAAACTCACATAATAATAATAATAGGGTTTAGGGTTTAGGGTTTAGGGTTTAGGGTTTAGGGTTTAGGGTTTAGGGTTTAGGGTTTAGGGTTTAGGGTTTAGGGTTTAGGGTTTAGGGTTTAGGGTTTAGGGTTTAGGGTTTAGGGTTTAGGGTTTAGGGTTTAGGGTTTAGGGTTTAGGGTTTAGGGTTTAGGAGCCGGCCCTTAGTAAGAGCAGCCGGCCCTTAGTAAGAGCAGCCGGCCCTTAGTAAGAGCATGCGGCCCTGCGGCGCGTAGGGAGAGCGCAAGGGGACCGGTGGAAGCTGCGAGCAAGAGGTTCATATAGTTCAAACAGCTTTCTAAGCATGGTACTACAGTATGATGAGAGCGTTCGCAACCTGCTGTATCGGAGATCATGCCAATACACGCAGGGTGAGGGTTTAGGGTTTAGGGTTTAGGGTTTAGGGTTTAGGGTTTAGGGTTTAGGGTTTAGGGTTTAGGGTTTAGGGTTTAGGGTTTAGGGTTTAGGGTTTAGGGTTTAGGGTTTAGGGTTTAGGGTTTAGGGTTTAGGGTTTAGGGTTTAGGGTTTAGGGTTTAGGGTTTAGGGTTTAGGGTTTAGGGTTTAGGGTTTAGGGTTTAGGGTTTAGGGTTTAGGGTTTAGGGTTTAGGGTTTAGGGTTTAGGGTTTAGGGTTTAGGGTTTAGGGTTTAGGGTTTAGGGTTTAGCGTCTAGGCTATAGGGTTTAGTGTCTAGGGTGTAGGGTCTAGGGTTTAGGGTTTAAGGTTTAGGGTTTAGGCTTTAGGGTTTAGGGTTTAGGGTTTAGGGTTTAGGCTTTCGGGTTTAGGGTTTAGGGTTTAGGGTTTAGGGTTTAGGGTTTAGGGTTTAGGGTTTAGGGTTTAGGGTTTAGGGTTTAGGGTTTAGGGTTTAGGGTTTAGGGTTTAGGGTTTAGGGTTTAGGGTTTAGGGTTTAGGGTTTAGGGTTTAGGGTTTAGGGTTTAGGGTTTAGGGTTTAGGGTTTAGGGTTTAGGGTTTAGGGTTTAGGGTTTAGGGTTTAGGGTTTAGGGTTTAGGAGCGCCGGTTATTTCAGGCACCATGGCTGCACGCGTGGTGTAGGGGAAGCTGCCAGGGCGCCAAGGAAGCTGCAAGCGAGAGGTTTGTATACTTCAAATAGCTTTCTAAGTATGGTTCTTCAGTATGATGAAAATGTTCGCAACCTGCTGTATCGGAGATCATGCCAATACACGCAGAGCGGACTTGTGGATGCCTCTGTCCTCGAAGCTGATCTCGTCGAGAGGGTGAAGAGCTTCGCGAAGCGTTATCCGAACAGCAGGACAGCCCAGGCTTGCAAGGCTGTGGAGGGATGCACCCCCGACGCTATCGCAGAAGCCATCCGCTCGACATGTC